TTTGCCAGCTGGACGTATTCGGTCTTCAGGGTTTCTCACAGCGTAAGCTGTTCCAGCTCTTTGATGAGTGAGTGTGTGAGAGTAAAGCGTCCACTTCAACTGAACTTCAACAGCAGCTCCTCTGCTGAACTTGAAAAGAGAGGAATGAATTGTCCCAGTGGTTTGGAAAGGTTCTCCTCTCAGCAGAGTTAACACAGTGGACACCATCAGCAGACTGGCTCACAAGTCTTTCATGTGTTTCTGACTCGTCACCTGCTGACGCTTTGTCAGACGCTCTCTTACGTCCAGCACACAGTCGCAGTAAACACGTGGTTAACGTAGGAAATCAGACAAAAACACACTTAGGTGTGAAAACACATCTCTGCTGGGATTAAAATAACGATGTAGACTGTATGGAAGTATGGAAACATGGCACAAACATCGCTAACGTAACCTCTGGTCTCCTGGTGGAACGTTCTGTGTTTGTTTCACCCATCCACCTCCACTCCCTTCCTTTTGTTACATAGCCGGCCAGCCGTGGGCTTGTTAGTGCATGTTAGTGCATGTTACTGCCTTTTAGTGCATGTAAGTGCATGTGAGCGTGCCTTTTAGTGCATGTGAGTGCATGTGAGCGATGGAGGTCCCTCTGCTCTCATACGGCGGTTACAACTAATAATGCCGTCCAGACAGACAGCGTCGTCATGGAAACATAGCGCCCACCCTCTGGCTCCCCCTCAGATAAACACCGTTAGCACTGTTAGCATCGTTAGCTTCTAGCCGCCGGCTCAGCCATGTTGAGAGCTGTGTGGAGGCAACAGAAATGCTCTTAACCTTTGGGCTAGTTGTGATTTTCTGACATTTTATGGACTAAACAATTAAGTGAGAAAAGATGAATCTATAATGAAAAAGATTGTTTGTAACAACCCTAAAAACATTCAAACAACCCTATCCTCCATCACTACGCTGAAAGGATATTGAAATGAGGTTATTAATAGAAAAGCGTCCGATTCAAATCACTCAGAGAGTTACACATACCAGCACGTTTTCAACCCCAGGAGGACATGGGTTCTCGTTCCATTCGGGGGTTTCCCAGACTAAGCCCATCCCTGGAGCCTTGTTCCAGAGGCCACAGCAGGCGGTGCAGCAACTGTGGACAGACGGGAGGAAACACAGGCCTGCACCTGTTGCCTTATTGAAACCGAGGTCAGAACTGCCACGTGGGTCATAACGGGCCCACACTGGGGACGTCTCCAGGAACAGAGCTCAGCTCTTTAGACAAATGCGCACCCCCGCACCACCCCCCACACACGCATTCACTGCGTAGAAGCATGCAGGGTATCATGTTCCATCCAAATTTAACGTGCCAACGTGGACAGTGATGTGTTTAGATCTGCCAGCCTGCCACTTTATATTCAGAGCCACAACTGTGAGTGATTGTGGCTGGAAAGAAACCCCCCCCCCCCACACACACACACACACTCCTCAAGCCCATCTTAGACATCTGTCTGTCTGAAACTGAATGCTGCTGTGTGCTAATGCTTGTGGAGACTTGATTCACATGCTCCATTAGCTCCTGCTGTCCTCAGGACTTCAGCTGAGGCAGGAAGTAAAAAGGTGCACTCCTCATGTCTCAAAGATTTGGGCTAAAGAGGAAAAAGGGGGTCAGAGATGAGGGGGAACATGTGTACATCCTGGAGACAAGATAGAAGCAGACCAGCAGAGAGAAGAAGCATGTGTGGCCTTCCTGACTATCACCACGTCGCCATGGAAATGGTGAAGATCACATGGCTGCCTCGCTGTGCCAGTCATGGGTTGTTCCAGAGCGTTTATTTCCAATCTGTTATGTTCCACTACTGTGAAGCCCGGGGTAAACCCTCCCAGTCACATGGCCGCCAACAGGAGGTGAGGCATCAATCCACGGCACAATAACTGTATGCCCCCCCCCCCCCCCCCCAAGGTTTATGCCAACTGACTCTCACAGTTCCTTATATGGAGGCTCTATTCTTAGCACATGTGCATGGTGTGAAGAAGGAGCTGTTAGTCCAACCCTGGCGCTGTTGTCATTTGTTCCTCTGGCTCTACTTCTTCCATGTTTCTGGAACGGAAAAAACACATCTCTACGGGTGATTCTGTACATTGTCCACTTCATATTACTCCCCTCAAACTGTGTCGGTGGCTTGGCTGGTTAGGAAATGGTTCAAAGTGACCAAAAACAATGCTGGAAGGCTTGGTGAATAATCAGCTGCAACAGTGCTAAAGCAGCTTCTCAAATGTGAAGCGGTATTTCTGTTTGTGTCTCATGTCAACGCAAATCCCCTTTGATTTTGGACTGTTGGTTGGACGATGACATTGATTTGGAATCAGTTATGAACACAAAGAGAGTGTCTTCCCTTTATTACCTATGAATTGCGTTTCCTTTTCAATGGTTTAAGCCAGGGGTCCCTAATAGGCGGACCGCGGTCCGGATCCGGACCCAGACGCCGTTGTATCCGGACCCAGGACCTAAAACCGATAATTGAGAATTATTACATTTTGACGGTGCGCTTCTATTTTAACCGGCGCAGCTTTTTCAGCATTTACGGCACTTGTTCAGCGGTCCAGGAAACGCGCCGACCAATGCGTTGTAAATCACATCACGTGATGCAGCTCAGCCAATCAAATATGAGTATTCTGACAAGTTTCCTGACTCGAGTGAGATGTACACACACCATGACACATGGGGCTGAGACGAGGACAGAGAATGAAGAGCAGGAGAATTGTGCGAGTTAGAGAAGTCATTTCACATGACGTTCTCCAAAAAGAGAAAAGTGGTCAGAGAGACCAGAGAGACCAGTCTGTAACCATTAATGAACAGACTCTTATTAGTTAATTATCCCCACGGACAGTTTAAAACCAGTAGGTCTCAAATGTTCAGAGACCGTGACGATTATTAAAAGCGGTAATATGAAGCGACACTACGAGACGAGGCAAACGTAGCCGCTCACATCTGAAATGAAGTCACAGAAAATAAACCTGAGAGCCCAATATGATCAGAATTGGTTCACTGTCCAATGATGTCTAAGATTTGAATCAGCTGTTAAAATCATTTAGAAGCCTGCTCTCCATGAAGGTGTGATGTGCAGGAGCTCTACAGTAGGAGAGTAAACATTACGTCATACTAAGCTCTACTCACTCCGACAAGAGAAAGATCCTCTTCCTTTTTCTTTACCTGACTCCCAACATTTACACCAGTGGTCCAGAGCTGTGCAGCATCATCCAATCACGTCCCTTCACAACTCTCCTTCACACTCGCTCTGTGCTGGTTACCAAGGAGACAGTGAAGTCTGGGAAGTGGAGCCCATGGTTTGGCATGAGTGTTTTTATTTTTTTATTTTCTTTCTCTGTCCACATCCTGCATGGAATATCACTACCTGGATTCTGCGTTTGTCATACTACAGTACAGTTCCCTGTATGGTGTGCAGCGTGTCTGCAAGCATGTCAAACAGCTGTCGTGTCTCAGGCTCCGTCCCACCTGTCCGTACCATTTTCTCTCTCTCAGTGATCCCACGACGGCCGGTGCGATGGGAAGCAGGCTTCATCTTGGAATCCTCAGGAATCTGTCAGCAGCATCAGGAAAGGCTTGAACCACCTTCAGTCTGATCAAAGACGACATGGGCCCAGAGCTGACATGTCGAGCCTTAGAGGGGCTTCACTCCTTTCCGGTGCCTGCACCTGTACACACATGAACGCACACACACACCCATCAACCTTCACACACCTTCACAACCACTCAGCCTTTGGCTTCGATCCCCCCCCCAATCACATTCCACCTCATCATCCACTTTTGTCAAGAAAGAAAGTGGGGAAAACATTTTTAATCTGTGCTGCAAATTCAGCTTTTCCGCAAAATGATTGGTTGCTGGTCCATCATCCATCCGTCCCTCTGGGTCTGTTGTAAATTCAGCAGGATTTCTTTTTTTTGTTTGTCCCAGGCAGGGTGAGGGGGGGGTCCAAACAGCAGGGTCTGCTGCACGTTTTATGCTGTCGAAGCAGTAGATGATCTGGTATGGATGCAGGAAGACTAGGTAGAGTCGTCTTGACTCTCCACCCAAGTGGAACCGGGGGACAAAAGTAGACGGGATAATAGAGAGATAGTCAATAGAGAGATGCATGCAGATTGACAGAAGCAACTGGATCTGGGGACAGATGTGTCACAAGGGGGACATTAGGGATGTGAGTGTGTGTGTGTGTCTAGATGTCTCCATGCAGGACGTCTTGAAGCCCCATCCGGCTGTTTGCTCACTTAGTCCCTGAGGGTCTTTTACAGCCATCAGACACAGTGATGTCTCCTCTCCTCCCCCACGTGGGAAACACTTTGCTGCATTGCTGTACAGTACGTCTGCTAGCCCTCTGCATCTCTCCTCTGCTTTGCTTTTACTCTCTCTCTCTAATCCCTCTCGTGAATGATTCATTTGAAGGGTGACGCGGGGTAAACACAATATGGCTGACACACTCATCTACACCCCCTGACCTCCGCTGTATCTCTCTCTCTCTCCCTCTCTCCGCTGGATTTGTCTCTACCTTCTCTCTGTTTCTCTTTCCCTCCATCTTCCCTTTTTCTCTTTCTTTCTGCCTACCCCTCCAGCTCCAGTGTCAGCACTTCTCCTCTCACTGCGTTCATGTCGCTGTGCTTTATGAATTCATCGGAGCTCGTTTGACTCCCATGAGCCCGGCAGCTCACCGAGCCGACCGCTGCACCATCACGACCACAGACGCTTTGACGGGCTATGGTTGTTCATGTGGGGGTTTAAGTCCATATGAAGGAGGCCCAAGAAAGAATTTCTTATGTGTCCGCAGGAGTTTTTTGCCATATAATAAACTGAAATAAGTGTGAATCAAATCAAAAGAATACTGAGACAGCTTGACGTCATTTTCATGTCGAGTATGAAGCTAATGTCTTCGATAGCGTAACACTCACTCAGAAACTAGGCACATTTACCAAGAAGACACAAGATTAAAACTCTCCCCTCTTGTTTCTCTAGATGCAGATACTTGACAAGTTCCCAATTGAGGGAGGGCAGAAAGACCCAAAGAAGAGGATCATCCCATTTCTCCCAGGTAATAGCCTGCTCCAGAGCTCCAGTTATCTGAACAGGCTCCCATATTAATAATGTATGGCTGGCACTGGTGGGGGGTCAATATGAGCTGGTTACTGATGCTTGCCTGTGCTGCATGTGTGTGCCCGTGTATGTGTGTAGGTGTGTGTGTGTGTGTGTGTGTGTCTGTTCCCGTGTTACTGCTGATGAGGCGCTCTCTGTGACTTTCAAATCTCAGCCGTGGCGGTATGTCTGTGTGATTTTTGTTGTTGTTTTGTTTTAAGGACACATTGAATTGTGTGTGTGTGTTTCTATCTGAGGTTATGGATGCATTTGATTGTTTCATTAGCTTGATATACAGTGTGTGTGTGTGTGTGTGTGTGTGTGTGTGTGTGTCCTGGTATTGATTTGAGCCATGCCCCACATGCTTATCTCTCCTGCTGACATTCAGGCTCATGGCGACCTGCAGCGTGACAGTGATCGATGAGGGTGTTTGTGGCGGTTCAGTGTGCGGGGCAGAGGGGCCGACAGTGATTCTGCTAATCACACTGGGTCCTGTGTGTGTGTGTGTGTGTGTGTGTGTGTGTGTCTGTGTGTCTGTGTGTGTCTGTATGCTCCTGTATGTTTTGTCATGCAGATTTCTGTGGATTCATCTTGGAATGACATGTGTCTGTTTGTTTAGTGCAGTTTATTTTAGTAAACGCTGTGTTTAAGCCCTGTGGCCAACACATGGTCCCAGCATCTAAACTCTCTGAGTCTCTCTCTGTCTGTCTCTCTCTCTCTCCGTCTCTCTCTCTCTCTCTCTCTCTCTCTCTCTCTCTCATCCACCTACCTCTTGACTATGAAGCCATGGCGCCAGATGCAAACATGATTGACTGTCTGCGCTTAGTTGAGGATAAACTCCTCTCCCTCACCCGAGTGACAGTTCAATAAACCGTGGACAATGTTTCTGATTAGGGTGGCCTATTGATTCAAATTGTTGCCGTACAAATCTCGAGACAACTTCATTTGGCTCTTGTTTGTTGTCAGCTGGGTGTTGAACCTCAGTGCTGGTCTTGGTTTTGACCAAATTGTGTCCATAGCACCACCGGCATTTTGAAGCCATTTAGTACCACCGGCTGCCTGGAATACCTGTTCAGACTCTTAGTCTTGTTCACTTATTCTTTGACCAGCTGCTTCCTAGTTTAAATTACAGTTTTAGGAACAACTTTCGCACAGCTTTTGTTTTTTCCGCTTTAAAATTTCATAGGTTCATGCTACACCCGCCCACCAAGTTTCATTACAATCGGGCTGGTAGTTTTTCCTGTAGTCCTGCTGACTAACAAACCAACAAACCATGGCGAAGGTCACGATGAAAAGGAATGTTAGTTGCAGCCTGAATGGAACCAAAGGGTAAAAACTTCTCTGTGGTTCTTTGGGTCCAATGAGACCACAGCTCACAGTCACCATCAGGGTTACAAGTAGAAGTCAAGCATTCAAAACTTTGACTTGGTGTGAGAGTTTACTTCTCTTTTAAAAAAAGCAAACAGATTTGTGGAAGTTTTGCCTGGATTGAGAATCGTGGAAGATAAGAATGATAATTGTTACATGAATTCCCAGCGTATAACACCAGGACCAGTAATGCTAATGTGCTAATGATAGCATGTTTCAGCAGGTCATTGAAGGCGGACTTGTACTTGTCTGGAGCCCTGGTGCTGGTTAAAAATAATATTTATCATATTGCATAAGTAGAGCTCCCTAAATAGTGAGCTGATGATACAACAATCATTTGGGGTTGGTGGGAGGGGTGAGAGCAGGGCCTTCTACGGAGGACCCATGTGTGTATTTATCCTATTGTCATAAGGAAAGCCATGTCACAGGCAGAGGTCATGGAGTCCTCAGGGGGGACAGCATGGGGGGGGGGGGGACTGAGATTGCTGAGGCCGTGAAGGGTCTCCAGCGTACATTACTGACATCTCCTGCTCTGCTGGGGTATGACATGAAGCAGCCATCAGCACTGCTGGATGCATGTGTCAGCTATTCACTTCTCTCCTCTTCCTCTCCGTCTCTCATCATCACACCGTTCCTCTGTTTTCCTCCACCTCCTCCCTCGTTCTGATTTTTTTTGTTCTCTCTTTCTCCTCTCCTCCAGGAAAAATCCTGTTCCGGAGGAGTCATGTGCGAGACGTGGCCATGAAGCGGCTGCGTTTCATCGACGACTACTGCAGGGTAAAGAGGCCTTACTGTAAACATCCTTCAGTTCCCCGTCCGACTCTGGGGAACAC